ATATAAAACAGAATTGGAAATAGCTGTGAACTACGAGTAGTTCGAGGGAGGCTTGTTTTTTTTTCAGGATGATCTTTGCAGGGTTATTTTAAGGTTGTACTTGGCATGGAGGTAAGCATTTAGTGTATGACAGGCTGTGGGGGAACCTTTAAGGCCCTGGGAGCAAGTTAGTAATGGTGAGCAATAAAAACCAGTGTAAGCAGGAGACTGTCCCCAGAGAACCTGAGAGGCTGTGTGGACTCGGTTCTCCCTTACTGCAAGGGAGGAGGGAGGAAGGAAGCTGAGGGCTGAGCCGAGAAGTGTTAATGAACCGCTCTCCTCAGATAGCCCCGCGGCTGCCGGCGGGCAGCCCACGCGCTCCCGGCACAGGAGCCCTTCCAGGCTGGCAGGTGGCGGAACGGGAAGAGCAGAGCGGGGCTGGGCGCTGTGAGCCTGAACAGCCCCCGCACAGCTCCTCACCACGGAGGGGGCTCGGCCCTGTCCACGGCTCCCGGCTCCCGCACAGCGCAGTCCTCACCAACACACGCTCTGGGGCTCCCCGGTGCGCACACGGACGTGTTCTGCGGTGGGTGGCTCCATCATCCCGAGGGGGGCTTGAGCCCAGGAGGTTGCGTGGTGCTGCCTAACTCCAGAGAAAGCATGGATGGAGCAAGGGGCTTTTACTTCCGACGTTTAACTCCTTTTAAGAGATCAGACGAGTGGAAAAGGTCATACTTAGGCAAAGCATTTGCAAGGATGGGAGAGGACATGGCTCTGATCACTGCCGCTGTGCAGTGGTTTTGGTGGGTGCTGTCTGAAGGCGTCATTTCCACCTTAAGAAAAACAAAAAAGGTGGGGATGACAAAGGAGAGATTACAAATTGTTCTTTCAACTCATTTTGTAACTAGGGTTTAAGTCTGGTCCTAGAAAAGAGCGTCCGTTATGTCCCGTTTCCTACTACACGCTGTTAAAAAGTGCGTGAGTCCAGCGCCGACCCATCTCCTTAGTGTGGGCCGGTTTGTCACCAGGTATTCAACCGCCCGTCCCTCAGTGGGGCCCAGGGCTCGCTGCTGTCCCTTCGGGGAGCCGCGAGGAGCCCTCAAGGAGGGCAGGGCACGGCGGGGCAGACCTCCTCCTGTGGCGGCAGTGCCCAGAGGGATCGGGGCCCTCCCCGCACAGCTGCGGCCGCGGGCGGTTGGCTTCACGGTGTCCGCTCGACGCAGCGGTGCCGCTGCCACAAGATGGAGGCTGGTCCTGCCCGCGGGACTGCGCTTCCCGGCGTGCCCCGCGCCGCCGCGCGAAATGGCGGCCGTCCCGGACCACAGCTCCCGGCATGCCTCCTCACCGCTTCCGGGACAGGGGCGGTGTCTGGGAGGGCACGCAGGTAGCGGAAGTGACCTCACGTCCGGCGGGCTGCGGCGCTGGGAGCGAGCGGGGCGGCGGGTGCGGAGCGGAGCGGGGAGCGGCGGAGGGGCAGCTCGGAGCGGCGGGTGCACCGCGGCCTTCCTCTGCGCGCAGGTGAGGCGGGGAGCGCAGCGCGGGCCGCCGCTGAGGCCGCTGTTCCTGCGGGGGAGCGGGGGGAGCCGCCCCCTCCCCTGAGGCGGTGCCGGGTGCACCCCGCCGCGCCTTCCTCCCCTCCCGTTCCCCCGCGGGCGCGGGGCCTGCGCGGCGGGGCCGCCCCGGGCGCCGTTCTCATTGTCTGCGGCTCCATCCGGGTCCTGCGGGGGGCGGCGCGGGGCCTGCCGGGACCGAGCACCGCCGCGGGGGCGGCCCCAGCGGGCGAACAAAGCGTGCGGGGGAGGCGGTGCCGGGCACCGGGAGCTGGGGTTGGGGGGTAAGGGGGGGGGAGCTGTGGTTCCGCGGTGCTCGTCGCCGCTGCCGCGCCGGGAGGGACAGAGGCCGCTCGGCTTCCGTGGCCGAGACGGTGGCGGCGGAGCCCGCCGCAGCGACACGGGTCCGCGGTGCCGGAGACCTCGGCACCGAGGAGAGAGCGGGCTCTGCTTTCCCCCGCGCCGTGCAGCTCTGCCCGCCCCGCTCCCCTCGGCGAGGGCTTTGCTCTCGGCTCCTTTGTGCGCCTCGGCGCTGGCGAGCCAGGCGGCTGTTCTCCGTTAACCCCGCTGTGACGCTCCGAAGCGTTTGTATCCGATACCATTGGCACCGTCGCGAAGTCGATTAAGAAATCCGTTTATTATGTGGAGTGTAGTTTGTTTGCTTGGTAACTGCCACTTGCTAATCTAATTAGATAACAAAAATCTTGGCTGGCGCTGCTGCCTCGCCGGAGCAATTGCTGGTTAATAAACACGTACCACCATCTTCGGCAGGAGTTCAAAGTACTCCCTTGCTGCTAAAACACCTTCGCTTAAACTTAAGCTCTGCGGAGATTCGGGTGTTCGGCTCCCTCTCTGTGTCGTGTTTGGGCGCTTGAAGCAAAGAGCTTCGTGTTTTCCCTCTGTTTTCGTTATCAGGGGCGAGGACCCAGGTTTTGCCCTGTGGAATTAGGTCCCTTAACCTTGTTTTCTGAAGCAGGCAGTGGATAATCTTCTTTTGTGATGAGGGTTTAAATGCAAAATCTTCAGTCGCAAAGCTTTGAATTTTGATGATGGTTGGTGCAGGGCTCCTCGTTGCTATCAATGCAGCGAAATTCAGGGAAGTGGGTAGATTAATGGACCTTAATGATGTTCTGGAGTAACGTGTGCCATACCTCATACAGAAAACACTTGGAGATACCTGGAAATCCTGTTGTTACAGGGTAGCTAATTTCTGATAAAAGTCCTGGGGTTTATCCATTTACACTGTGCTTCCTGCATCACCCCCACTCCCCACCAAAATGCCTGAATAATTTGGGGCTGGATCTCAAATCACATCAATGTGGCAAAATTCTCTGTAGTTTCTGTTCCTTAGCACTATTAATGTTCTGTTTCCTGCTCCAGTGTAAGGAGCTTTGAGATCCTTTGCTTCCCACCTACTCCCAGATGGAAAATATCTTATTTTTGTTCACAACACAGTGGAGCCTGTCGCTGTGGCTCATTTTCTGCAGCAGCTGCCTTAGATTGTGCCTTTTTGCAAGACCAAAGTGGTGTTGATGTCGCCTCCTCAGAATTGCCTGTAGCTCATGACTAAAAAGTCTGTATCTGGTGAAATGAGACTAGTCTTGCCCTTACAAATGAGCACAGAAAGCCAGCTGGTTTGTATCTGGAAAGGGTGAAATGGGGAGATTTAGTTATTGTTTTATTTCTTTCTACTTGTGGTATTGCAACTTGCAGAAAATGAATTTACAAGGAGTGCTGTGAGTACAGGACTGGCCTGGGGCTTCCTCAACTGTTCATGCAGAAGTGTTTTGTTGACTTGTTTTCCTGTGGGAAAACATTAGCAGATTTAGGGCTTCATCAGATAAACTTGAGATGCTCAGCTTGAGCCCTGGATCTGTCTTGAAGATAATCATCCCCATCGTCTTTGGGCACTAATGGAAAAAGTTGTTTCAGTCCAAATGTGCAACACTGAACTTCGTCCTCCCTCCTGAAGCGAATAGCTCATGTTCTATGGGAACACTTAAGAAATTGGAAAGCCAGCCCATGATTCAATAAATGAACCTCTCAAGCTTTTGCACAAACAAGGAGGTTGTGATTTTTTTATATTATTTATTATTTTTACCATTATGGACTTGCCTGGGTGGAGTCTTCTCTGTACAGAAGTTGCCTGGAATGTGGCCTGAGTACCTTACACTGCTACTGCAGTTGTTCACCTTAGTGTGAATCTTTATGTGCACAAAGCCTGGTGAATTGTCAGCACCAGGATTCACTCCACAAGTGAAAATGCTGACTTTGTCAGCTAAAAAAAAGGAAGAATTTAGCCATTTGAGACTCTGAGGTCTTTTATTCCTTCTGGTGCAGCCTGTTTGTTAGCTTGTGAGCAGCTGAAGGTGCTTAAAGCAGTTTCAAGCTTGACTTAGGGTGTTGAGTGCAGTGTCTTTTCCTGCCTGATGTTAAATGCTGCCAGTAAACCTTTGCAAGTTTGTTTTGAAAGAACATCAAAACGAACCTGTTTTCTCTTACTAGAATACCCGGGTGCTGGTCTCATTTGTTGTACTTCCTAAGGGAGCTCCAGTGACTTCCGTGCTTGGGTTTGCCTTTGATTTAAAAACCTTGAATAGAACAAGCCAGGCAAGTCCCTTTATCTTTGTCTTTTTCTTAACTGATCACTTGGATGCGGCAGGGTTTTGACCTGGGATTATCAAGAAGACATTTTGAACCAAAACTTGCATTAATTCCGTAGATAAAAGGAGCAAATGAAATATAAAGACAAAACAGGAGCTTCTGTGTGATAAGCCCTTGTACCCTAATCACAAGGGAGGCTGTGTTTTGATACCCTCTTCTCCAACTGATTTTTTCATATGCAGGCAATGGGCTAAAATGTTGATTAGAGAATAAAATAAACCTATTTTCTCTTGCCTGCTGCATCACACCATTGCAAATTGTTAGCACTAGAAGAACATTCAAGTTTGATTTGGGTTTTTTTTTTAGCTCATTGCCTCACACATGCTTTGTATAATGTTTAACACTGCCAGTAATGGTAGCTGAAACTACTCAGCTGTTCCAGTATCGATACCTGTAGCTAAACACGGTGCAGGAAAAGCAGCAGCCTTGCCTCGTAAAATGAGGTTTTCAGTTAAGACGTGGGCTGTGAGGAGCAGACTTTGGTCTCTCTGCTCAGAGTTACAAGCTTCACCCAGACTGACAGAAAGGCTGCAGCACCCTCCTTGTGACGAGGGTTCAGCCCAAATTTAGGCTCTGTCCTGCTTTTGACTGGGGTTAGGTGGAACAAGACACACTTGCCAACTGTACCTTCATTCCTGGAGCTTGGGACACTGCCGTATCACGTAGCATTGACACACACAAGTGTTGAGTGCTCTCCAGGCGTGACTCAACCCGTGCTAATGAAGTGGGAGGAGAGGGGAGCACGCACTGACTTTCAGTGCGTTATGATGTTGGCTTTACCTGAAGTCTCCTAGGCAGTAGGATGTCCTGTAATAGAATTTGGGTGGGCTAAAAGCCACGCTGAGTTTCCCTTAGCATGGGTATCCTTGGGAATTCCCCTGAAGCGCTGCCCACTGCCTCTGAACCAGTACTGACACTGGGCACAATTCATCTCCAGTGGAGTTTGTTGGAACTCTGGTAGGAGCTTTGAAAGTGTTTTGGAAAGCAAGTTTTCCTTTTTGTGTCTTCAGTGTTGCCTTAAATACGTTCCTACTGGCAAGCACGCGTGCTTTCTGCTGCTTTCTGTCCCTTTTAATTGGCCTCAGTGCTTGGCATTTACTGATTTGACCAGCTTTAATTTGGGGAAATTAATTAGTCACTGCATACAATGGAAACAGCGTTTCTGATGCTCCCGTTGCAGTGAGCAGAGCCCTGCTGCAGCCACTGCAGGGCTACCCAGAACCTTCACATCCACGCACAGCCTTCCCTTGTGCAGAGCAGGGTGGTGAGTGAATCTGCACCTCTTTAATTACTGCATTTCTTAATTGCAGGCGTTGACTCAAAGACACAGCCATGAAAGATCCGAGTCGCAGCAGCACCAGCCCGAGCATCATCAGCGAAGATGTGATCATAAATGGTCATTCTCATGAAGATGACAATCCCTTTGCGGAGTACATGTGGATGGAGAATGAAGAGGAATTCAACAGGCAGGCAAGTCATTTCCTTCTCTAAATGTGTTGTGGTATGCTTTACCCTTGTCTAACTGAAGGGAAAGGTGCTGTGGCTTAGCATCCGGGGTCAAAGAGTGGCAGTCCTTTAGAGATGGGGTTTTCAGATGAGCTTGCTGAGGAACCCTGTGGAACAGACAGATCTCAGCTTCTCTGGCAATATGAGTTTTCTGTAATCTTGGTGGAAAACATCCAGTAATTCCCTGCTGCTGCAGGAGGGAGGGAGGGAAACAACGTTGGCGGAGCTTATTGGCACTTTGGAAGGGATGAGTCTAGGTAGGCTGCTGGCCTGCAGAGGTTTTATGTGTGCAGCCATGCTGTAGTTCTGAACTGGGTATGTCCCAGCGCCTCCCTGCCTCTCCCAAGGCTGCCTTTCCAAAGGGAGTCAGTGGACATAGCTGTTGGGTGATAGTCCTGGTCATTGCTTAATACTGAAGTGTCTGTCTTACAGCTTGCCTTCGCAACCAGATTGGAAGGAAGCCTTAAACTTCATCTCTAACCTTGCATCTGGACACAGTTTTCCTCCTGTGGAGGAGGAACAGCCCCCTTTCCAATCAAAGCTTGATCTTTGTACTTGCATAGCTGCTTTCTTTGCACAGTTTGGCTGTGCTGAAGTCTGAGTGGCTGAAATGGGATGTCTGCTGCTCTCTAGGGTGCCAGCAGGGCACAGAGCTAATCTGAAATGCAGGTTGACCACCAGATGTAAATTCTCTCGTGCATAAGGGGCCAGGATGCTCTCGGTGCTGTTTCCCATTGGGTGGCTGTTTCCTCCTGGGCACTGTACTGCAGTTGGAATAGGGGATGTGTAGCTCTTGAGGAAGCAGCTGAGCGTTGTGCCATGAATAAACAGAGTAGAGGAAAGGTGGGAACATGGGGGAAGACTGGTTGTATGCAGGCAGGCAAACACCGCATGGCAGCCCGGCTGTGCAGCAGTAGGCAAATCTCTTGGTGGGAACCTGAACAAGTTAAACTTGAGCTGGAAAATCTAAACAGGCAGTCTTAATTTCAAGGCATTTGGGGAACTAAATGTTATTTAGCCCTTCTGGAACTGCTGCTGGAGGCACCTGTAGGTGTACAGCCATGTAACAACCGGTGCCAGGCAGCCCCTGCTGTAACACTGGTTTGTGGCTGTGTGCCTGCCACTGCCTTCTACCCAGCGCAGGACAGGCGCAGTGCCTCGGGGAGTGTTGATGGGAGACTCCTGTCCTTGCTGGAGTGCTCTGTTGAGGAAACCACAAAGTCAGGGCTTCATGCAGGGTTTGAATTGTGTGACAGTGGCTTAGAGCATATGGTGATGAGTCCGTGTTCCCAGAGCTGTGTATCGTGAGCGCCAAGTGAGCTGGGGAGTGTGTTTGCCCCAGGCACAGGGGACCTACATATTGCAGCAATCCTCAACTCTGGCTTTCATTTTCTGGTTTGGTATCTGTGGTACGTAACTGAATTTCCACTTCAGGGTCAAGCATGTGTTTAATTTCAGAGTGAAGGATAGATAGGAAAACTTGTTAGAGCTTCCATTGAGTGAACTTTTAAATATGTCCTGAATAATTTTTCCATTCTGGCAAGTCATTCACACCAGCTTCTATTTCCCTAAGTACTGCAATGCAGGACATGGAAAACTTGTTGGGATGAACTCCCTCCAAAGCTTGTTTACTGAACAACCAAGCAAAACTTTCCTTTAGTCTTTGCAGCAGTGGCAGTTCTGCATCAGTTGATTTGCCCTGCTTAGAGCACAGCAGGTCAGCATTCTTAACAACCACTAAGATCATGTGGAGTTCCTTAGGAGAACTGGGTGAACACATAACCTAAAGCCAAGGAAATGCTGCTTGTTCCCCGTGCCAAGGCACAGGCAGTGGTTATTTTTTCCCCAGTAGTGTGCCCGGCTGCATGTGTTGTCCCTGTTCCCTTCCTCATACTCACAGTGAGTTGAGTCCAGGCTAGTTGGTACGTCTGAAAGTTTCACTTGGAACCAATATTTTCCTTCTCCTTTTGCTTGTAACAAGCAGCAAATGGCACAGCTGGGGTGTTCTCCTGCCATTCCCTTTATCTGCAGTCCAAGTTCCTGGGACAGAGCACTTTCCTACATTAAAAAACCCAAGCTGATTGCCTCCCTGCAGCACGAACATGGTGTTCTGCTGCAAGTCCTGGTGCATAGCTAGAAAGCAAGCCAGCTGGGTGCACAGACCTTGGAATGAAGGCCCAAGCTCTTGAGAAGTTTGTTGATGAGGCAGTTTCTTCTCATTGTATAGATCGAAGAGGAGTTGTGGGAAGAAGAATTTATTGAGCGCTGCTTCCAGGAGATGCTGGAAGAGGAGGAGGAGCACGAATGGTTTATTCCTGCCCGTGATCTCCCACAAACAATGGATCAAATCCAGGACCAGTTCAATGACCTTGTTATCAGTGACAGCTCATCACTGGAGGATCTGGTGGTAAATTGGTTTCTCATCATATTTCTCAAGCTTGACATCTCTTTGGCCAAGGCTGATTTTTATGGGTGATAATGGCAGGGCAAAATCCTTTACACATAAGCCAGAGACTCTTAAACTGTGCCTGGCTCTGGTGGAGGGGGAATGTGGAACAGTTGGGCAAGGGATGTTCCTCCAAGTGATGTGACCTGTTCAGTGGTTTTCTTCATAACCACATGGGGCCTTTCCTAGCCCGTGGAATAAACTCGAGTGGGTTTGGGGATACAGAGTGTGTTAAGAAAAAAAGGCAGTGTGTGAAGCGCGAACGCTGAAGTGCCATTTGGTGACAAGACTGCAAAGGTTTAACTGAGCATCTGTCACCAGTTATGTGTGGAGTAGGAATGAGCTGTGTTCTGGTTTGGATTGTGCAAACCATAGCAGATCCCTTTTGTAGAGATTCTAGGGAAGGGAAAGGCAACCCCACATGACTCCCCTCGTTCTTACTGTGTGACTTGTCAGAGCTTAACTGATAGGAAGGGGCACCACATACCTATTTTCCCTAACATAATACACGGGTACTGGTACAGAGTACAAAAAACACTGCCAGGTCCTACTTCTCCAAGCTTAAGTAGCTGCAGGCAGCAGTTTTGGAGCACAAAAACCCCTCCGTTTCCTCATGATAAAGAAGTCAGTTTGAAGATGCTGCATGTCTATAACTGCAGGACATTGCAGAGCAGCAGCTTGCCAAGTATCAAGACAGGGTAGTCACAGGCATGGAAATGTAGAAAATCAATACAGTGCTCATATACATTAAATTCCCAGAAACGGATGAAGTTCCTGGAACAAGTCTCCTCTTGCTTAAATAAGCAAGATCTAAAAACCTCATGGCATGGTTTAGCAGCTTGGCTTCAGAAAAAGCTTTTTCAGCATTAAGCCAAGTAGCTGCATTTGATGCATGCCTGTGGTTTCCTTGTTTCTCGTTCCCTGAGCCTTCATCTGACTGAAACATCCAGGTGGTACTAAGGAAGGGTGGATAATTGGGCTACTAGCACAGGGGAGTGTGCTCTTTTAGTGGTCAGAGAGGCTCTTGATAGATGCAAAACCCCCATCAAGTGCCTGTTACTCTAAACCCATAAACTGTTCCTAATGCTGTCAGCTTAAAGATGGAGGATGAAAATAATGATTCAACTAGACTTCTGTTTTTCCCTTCCTCAGGTCAAGAGTAATCTGAATCCAAACGCAAAGGAGTTTGTTCCTGGTGTGAAGTACTTAAATATTTGAGTAGACTGGGCCCTCTCTTGGTGGATGTAGCACAATTTCCACACTGTGAAGCCAGTATTAGAAGATTTAATTGTAAAAGCTCTCTCTTCTTGTCACTGTGTTACACTTATGCATTGCCAAAGTTTTGTTAGTCTTGCATGCTCAATAAAAGTGCTGAGACTGTTATTAAGTAAATCTGTCAAAAGTTTAATGGAAACATAATTGGGCCCTGGCTCTGGAAGGAGGCAGTGAGGTAAGAAGCACCAGTCAAGTTGAGACAAAGTACCACGTTTATAAAACCTTCTGCAGACTCTGTCTTTCTAAAACAGGACTTGGAATTTGCCATGGATGGTCTGTGTTAACTGGTGCTAGCTTGCACCTGATAATGCCTTAACTCCGGGACAAAAAGCAAGCAAGGATATCTGATTGTTATGCAAATAGGCTAGCTTTCCTTGGAAATACTGTTACTAATGTTAATTTTTCCCCTTAAAGAACCCTCATGCTCCTTTTCAGCAGCATGAGCCATAACCGAAACCTTACAGACCTGTGCAGAGTCGTAGATCTCAGCTACTGAGCTAACACCCGAGGGGCTGGAAGGAGGAATCCCCCGCGCTTCGCAGTACGTGATCATGTTAGAAACGCCCCAACTTCCCGATTATGTTCAAGGAGATGTGAGTTTCATCACAATTTCTTCCAAGAACCCAGATAAATACATAGCACTGCCTATGTAACTTTTAGCATATGACTTTATTAGAGCTGGGTTTAACCAAGCCGAGCCTAGCATTAGTGGTTTGAGTGGTGCTTTGCCCTTGCTTTGTTTAATCATCACTACACGATAGTCTACAGCACAACAACTTCTTTTGTTTCGTTTTTGTTTTTTCTTTTAATAAAGCTAGAACAGTTTTGGCTTCTTAAACTTCATACTGGGGTAGGTTAAGCTGCCATACGTGTTCAGTGTGAATAGTGTTTAAGTTGAAAATATTGTAAAAAAATTATATTTTTTCAAAAATATTTAAAAAAATAAATAAGAGTAGAACTGACGTGGTGGCTGTCTCGTGAATGTGCTGCTGGCAGCGCGCAGGGGCGAGGGAGGGTGTGCTGCCGGTACACTTCCCTTAGGGCTCTTGGTAAGGTGATAGCCCAGGATACTCATGAGCTTGGACTCCTTCCCCCTGCCTCCCTGCCCGGGCAGGTTTTTCTTCCTTCTCACTGCTGCTAATCCTGGTGCAGCTCCACTGCTGCTGGCAGCATGGGCAGCCCTTGCTGACAGCAGGCAGCACCCTATAAAGGGGGTGTCAGAGTGGGGCTGCCAGAGCTGGGGTGCTCCCCAGCCTTACTCTGTGAACTGGGTGGCTGTGGGTGAGCTGATCCGCCCCTTGCTTTGTAACTTTATCCAGCCTTGCTCTTAATATCTTTTATTTTGTCTTTAGGCTCCAGTTAAACCAAATGAAAACACTTCAGAAATCACACAGTGCTGCAGGATGTGCAGGGGTGGTGCCTTTATGCAGGGGTTACCCACGTTACTGTGTTGGTCTTCATAGAATCACAGAGTGGTTTGGGTTGGAAGGGACCTCAAAGCTCATCCAGCTCCAACCCCTGCCACGGGCAGGGACACCTTCCACTAGAGCAGCTTGCTCCAAGCCCCTGTGTCCAACCTGGCCTTGAACACTGCCAGGGATGGGGCAGCCACAGCTTCTCTGGGCACCCTGTGCCAGCGCCTCAGCACCCTCACAGGGAAGAGCTTCTGCCTAAGAGCTCATCTCAGTCTCCCCTCTGGCAGGTTAAAGCCATTCCCCTTGGCCTGTCCCTACTGGCCCTTGTCCAAAGCCCCTCTCCAGGTTTCTTGTCCAACCCTCTTAAAGGAACTCAGCCAAACCAACTCTTTATTTTGCTGTTGCTCTTCACAGCGTTCATCACAATTATCCTGGCTCCTTACTGAGCAGCACTTTCCCCTTTCCTAACCAGAGATTTGGCCCTAGAGAAGCAACAATCCTCTTCTGGCGTTTCACCAGCTTGGCTGCAGTTCAACCTGGTACATCTGAAGACAGAAGGTCAGGAAGCAGCCATGTGCTGCCTTATTTTTAGCTGGAGTGGGAGTGTGAGCAGCGAACCCCTGCACGCTGCGGCGCTGGCTTGGCAGGAGCCTCCTGCCCGAGTTTCGGCCGGGTGCGGTTGGCTGGGGGCGATTGGCACCTGAATGCTGCCGTTGTGCAAGAGAGCAGCACAATTCCTGTGCTCTTCCCTGCTGTATCTCAGCAAGCTGTGCCAGCAGCACCTTTATCGGAGGTGAACTCCCACACTGCCTGGCTGGGCCTGGGGTTCCTGACTGAACCAGAGCTGATAGCGGGGTGGGTGCTGTGGCTGTTGTTGAACAGCGCTGGGGCTTTCTCCTGCTCCAGCCCCAGCAGGTGGGCGAAATGCTGGGAGAGGGCATTGCTGCCCAAAGAGGTGTTGCACACTGTCACATCCAGCCCTGCAGCAACACTGGGACAGCAGCAGGAGAGCGGGGGCTCTTCCATGCTGTGCCTGTGGGAGGTGTGAGCAGGTGTGTTTGCATCACTTGGGGGTTTGGGTGGGTTTTTCCCCCTTTTCACTTATTAAACTGTCCTGGTTTCGTTCCCTGATGGGTCTGACAAGGGCTTGTGCTGAACCACCCCCCACTGCACTGGGGTTGGGACAGAAGCCCCCTGACCGTGGGGCTGCTCGGCCTGGGTGAAACCCAGCACGTGTCAATGTGGGACAGCCCAGGCAGGAGCATGGCAAGGTGCTGACACCTTTGCAATGCAGGAAGGGTGGGGGGGATGGTGCAGGATGCGGCAAAGACACTGGGAGGGCTTCGATCTTATTTTATTACTTTCAATGCATGATCTTGAAGTCGGCCTCTTACACTGGTGTGGATGCTGCACCCCACACAGAGCCCACGCCGGGTAGCCCTGCCGAAGCCAAGGCCACAGCGTGACAGTCCATGGCTCTGGAGGTGTCTGACGAGCTTCAGGCTGAAGGAGCTCCACCAGCCAAAGCTTGGTGGAGCGGTGACCCCGGGGGCCGTGGTCCCCAGGCCGGCACCCGGGAGCTTGGGCTGTCCCCAAAGGGCAGCTTGGAGTTTCCCTAATCCTGCGTTGGAGATGAGCACCGGAAGCCTCGGCTTTGGTGCCCCGACAGCACCCATGGAGCTCGGCTCGGCTTCTGCGGCACCGGGGCACGAGCCCTCCCCTCGCTCACACCTTGGTGCACACCGAGACCCCATCGGCCGCGTCCTGCACGTCTGTGGCCTCCACGCCACCGCCCCTCGCCCGGGCCTTGAACCCGGTGAACAGGGGGCAGATGGGAACCCGCCGGAGCCACCGGCTGCGCCGCACAGCGCCCATCCCGAAGGGGAAGTCGTAGCTCCGGAGGCTGGCGCGGGAGGTGCTGTCCGAGTGCGCGCCCGCCTTCCACTGCACCAGCCCTCGCTCCTCCTGCGTCCCTGTGGCAGCCGGCACCGGGTCAGACCCCTTGCCCCGTGAGCCCCTCTTGTAGCTCCAAACCAGTCCCCCCAGTTAGTCCTTGTGGCCCCGTGTGCTTCCATTACCCGGGATGGTGTTGTCCAGGACGAAGGCGATGAGCCCCCCGACAAACATCTCCGTCGTCAGCAGCACCGTCAGGATCTGGTCCAGCTCGGGGACACCTGCGAGAGCGCGGGGACTGAGCCAGGCCGTGTTGCGGGGAGCCGGGTTCACCTCATTAATCCATGGATCTGCCCTCCTCGCTCCCCAGACCCGCAGCACCGGGGCTCGCCGTGCCGGGCGGGTACCTGTGTTAATGGCCTTGGGGTGGGAATCCAGGTAGTTTGGCAGCGTCAGCCCAAAGAACATGGCGAAGCCCAGCACGAAGAGGTTGCGGGAGGAGTTCATGTCGACGAACTGCAGGTTGGAGAGGCCGACGGCCGTGATCATGCCTGCCGGGGAGACACGGCTGTGCTGGAGGTGCCCACGGTGCTGCTGGTGCCAGGCGGAAGCCGGCACCGGGGTGCGATGGTGGCTCAAAGCCCACCCCGCATCCCCCGGGCTCCCCCTGAGCCTGCAGGGAAAGGGCCCCAGGGTGCCGGTGGCAGCGCGGTGGGTGGGTTTGAGGGGTGGCTGCGGTGGGGTTACCGAACAAGGTGCAGAACATCCCCCCGAGGACGGGGTCGGGCAGGGAGGCGAAGAGCGCCGTGAACTTCCCGATGGTGCCCAGCAGGAGCATGATCCCAGCCCCGTACTGGATCACCCTCCTGCTCCCCACCTGCACGGAAACGGGCAGCGGGTGACGGTGCCTATGTGCCCCGGCCGAGCGGGACCCAGCCCAGGCCCCGGTACCTTTGTGATGCCCAGGACACCAATGTTGGGGCTGGAGGAGGTGGAGCCGTTGCCGGTGCCCAGCAGCCCCGCGATGATGCAGGAGACGCCTTCAGTGAAAATGCCCCTGGGAACAGCACGGACGGGCTGGTCCCCACCGCTGCTGCCCCGCAGCATCCCTGCCCGGTCCCACAGGGATCTGTGGCATGAGCGGGGCACCAGGGTGGGGGGCAGCTGCTGTACCTGTTGATGGCGTGCACGGGGGGCGGGGGGGCTCCTGCCAGCCGGGCACAGGAGTAGTAGTCCCCAATGGACTCGATGATGCCCGCCAGTGTGGCACTGAACATGCCCAGCACCGCCGCCGAGGTCACCGTGGGCAGACCCCACTGGCCTGCCGGGAGCAGAGCACAATGCCAGGGTCCCAACACAGGGACCTGGCACCAACAGTGCTCCCCAGCCCAACTGATGCTGCATCCCTCAGGGTGAAGGGGCGTTGAAGGGACCCGTGCCTCTGCCTGGCACTCACAGGGGTAGGGCACCCGAAACCAGGGTGCCACGGACAGGATCTCCCCCCTTGCATCCGTCCTGGCCTTGTATCCGTACGCCTCGGGCTCGCTGGGGAAGACGCCGGTGCGCGTCAGCACATAGCAGAGCAGCCACACCACCATGATGGCCATGATGATCTGCAGGGGCACGGACCCGGCACACCCCCTGCATCGCCCGTGTGTAGAAACAGGGGGGGTTTGGGGATGCTCCAGGACCTGGTGGCTCCCGGCCAGTCCCTACCGGGAACATCTTGAAGATCTGGATGCGGAGCAGCACGAAGCCCCTGCCGCGCCGGTAGCCGGGCAGGCAGATGGTGACGTGCCGCAGGTACTGCGCGAACAGGACGATCAGGAAGATGGTCCTGGGGGGAAGAGAGATGCGGGAGGCCCCTCGTACCCCAGCATCCTCCTGGCTCCATTAGGGACACCCCGACCCCTTTGTCCCCCCATCCCCGTGCCGTACAGCGCGGCGATGCCCCAGTGGGAGCCGGCCCGCTCGCCGGCCGCCTGGAACACGGAGAGCCCGATGAGGGACACGGTGGGAGTGACGGTCAGCGGCCCGATGTAGCTGAGCAGCGCCCCGGGCAGCCCCAGCAGCCCGATGGCCACCTCCACCAGGCTGGACACGACGATGGCTCCCTGGATCTGCAGGGAGGGCAGGGGTCAGTGCGCTGTGGGGCGCTGCGGGGTCCCGGGGCAGCGTGGGCCGTACCTCTCGCATGCGGGGCTGCCAGATGTGGGACGTGTTGAGCGGCAGCACCCAGTTGCCGTAGATCTGCTCTGGGGATGGAGGGGGATGAGGTGGTGCCTGGATGGGGGGGGGGGGAGTGGCTGGATCCCCCCTGCTCCCCTCTGGCCTCACCTTCAGGGGGGCAGCGCCACTTCTCCAGGGCCAGGATGGACTTGGCTGGGACGAGGAAGGCCAGAGCGCTCGCCTGGAAGAGGGGCAGCCTGGGAGGGACAGGGGATGCTGTGCCCATGGCCTGCGGAGCAGCAGTGGGTCCCCCCCGGTGCCGCGGCTCTACCTGATGCCCACGGTGGTCTGGATGAGGGTGGTGATGCCAACGCAGGTGAAGATGGTGCCGATGAGGTAGCTGACGGTGAGCTGGTCCTTGCCCACGCACAGGCTCTCAGCCAGCAGGAAGGGGACTGCAATGGTGCCGCTGAAGCAGGTCAGGTAGTGCTGGGGGGGAAGGGGGGGCTCAGCGGGGCTGGGGTGGGAGCAGGGGCCCACGGGGGCTGCCCCCCTTGCAGGCTGTACCTGGAAGCCGAGCAGGATGCAGAGGTACCAGGGGGGCACATCCTCGATCTTGTAGAGCATGTCCACCTCCGGCCGGGGGGCCCTGGCACCCTCCTTGGGCTCCTGGCGTGTGGGGACTCGGCTCAGCCCCAGCTCGCCACAGGGACCCCGCAGTGTCCCCAGGGGTGGCACAGGGACCCCCTGCGCCCTCAGGGATGCGGGGGTCCCGCTCCCGGTGTCCGCGCGATGGTGCAGTGCAGGAGGGTTCGGGGGTGCCCCGGTACTCACCCTGCCTGCTGCAGGCGGCTCCTTCCCAGGGGTACAAGGGGGGTCGGTGGGGGTGGGAGCCAGGCTCCCATTCTGGCAGTGAGGGCGAGGAGGAGCCGGGTCAGGGCTGTCCCGGGTGTCCCATGGGAGCGGGGCTCTGCCCTGGGGACTCAAGGGCCGCGGCTCCGCACGTGCGGCGGCTCCGATCCCAGAGAGGGGCCTGGGCTCCAACCCCACCGGTCCCTGCGGGATGGTTTGTCCCCAGGGGAGGTTGGGGGGCGGGATCCCCCCTGCCCCTGGGTGCCTGGACCACGCTGCCAGCACAGCCAGTCCCGGCCGCAGCATCCCCGCATGTCCCCTTGGTCCCGGGCTCCACCGCAGCCCCCAGGCTCACCCCATCCTTTGCCTTTTGCTGGGCATCACAGCCCTGAGCTGGCCACCGCTGGGGGCTCCAGTCCCTCCCGTCACCCACCTCCCTCCCTGCTGCCTGGGATACGGCTGAGGAGGGGACGGGGATGGGGATGGGATGGGGATGGTGTCAGAGGCTGCGTTCACCTGGGGCTGAGCCAGGTCTCCCGAGCGCGTCCCCATCCTCCGGTGATGCGGCCCCGGCGGCGATGTCACCGCACGGGGGTTTTATGGCCATGGGGAAGGACTTTAGTCACCACCCGGGCCGTGGCACGGGGTGGCAGGCAGCGAGGCCACCATTGGCTGCGGGTTGTGAAACCGGGGAGTGCTGCCTCGGGGACGGATCAGCCATTAACTGCTTTAATTGGGGCTGGCACCGCGGGCGCGCAGCACCGCGCTGGTCAAACATTAGAGCCCGGAGCAGCCCCGCTGGGGGGCCGGGGTGTCGGCGGCATCACGGAGGGACGCGGCGACAGCGGCGATGGGGAGCTCCCGCCTCCCGGCGCGGCGGCTCCCGCTGGGGACGAAGTCGGTTCCGAAGGTCGCCGGGGCATTAAGCATTAACCGCAGCGGGGCTACAGCTCGTTCTGCAGCGCCTTGGGGGGGGCCGCCCCCCCGGCCTTGCCGCCGGTGCAGGGCCCCTTGTCCCCGTGGCACAGCAGCTCCCGCAGCGCGGCCGGGCCCCGCCGGTGCGCCCCATAGACCCGCGCCTCGCCCCGCTCCCCCACGGCGCCGTGGCACATCTTGGACAGCCTGCGGGGAGCCACGTGTGGGGCACAGCGAGCCCCTGCCATGGTGAGGAGGGGACAGTGCCCGGCACCCCCCCCACTGCCAACACCCCCTCCCTTACCTGCCCGGCCAGGGGCCCCCCGTCACCATCACACTCATGGGCTCCTGCACTGGCAGCCCCGGCCCCGCCAGACGCTTCTCCCCATCCAGCTCCTGCACCCCATAGCTGCGGGGAGAGGCAGGGGGTGGTGAGACCCCACCTCTGGGACACCCCATCCCCAGGGACACCCCACAGGGACACCCCGCTCACCTCTCCCAGCCCTGCGAGCAGCTCCTCTCCAGCACCTCCATGTAGTCGGACTCGCTCAGCACCTTCTTGCCCACTTTCCCCTCTGCCCTGCTGAGCTGCTCCTCAATCTGGGGTGAAAAAGGGCAGAAATGGGCCAGTAATGGTGGCAGCCTCCGTCATGACCCTGCGCCCCAGCGGGCAGGGGTCTGCATCCTCTTCCTTGAGGCCCAGCAGTGGAAGCGCTTTTGCATGGGGATGGTGGCTCCATGAGCAAGGGAGCTCGCTGGCCCCAAAGGGCTGCTCTGGGGATCCAGCAGCACCTCCCCAGCCAGAGCATCCCCGCGGGGCTCTCGCTCCCGGTGCTGGGCCCCTCTCCCCGCTCCCCACCTGGAAGGCGATGGCGTGGCAGGCGTCGCAGAGCAGGGACTCGGGCATGTGGGGCGAGAGCCGCTCCTCGGCGCTGAGCCGCGGTGCGGGGATGGAGCGGGCCGGGGCGGCGGGGGGGTCCCCGCACATCCCCTCCCCTCCCGTCCCTGTCAGCAGGCTCAGGAGCAGCCACAGCAGCGCCGGCTGCATCCTGCCGCGGTGCGGTGGTGCCGGGGGGCAGCGGGGGGCCGATGTAACCCCCGGGCACTGATGCGTGCCTGAGGCACCTGCATCCGGCTGACGTGGCCGTCCCCGGGGTGTTGGGGCGGGGTGCATGGGGTGTCCCTGGCCCCTCTCGGGGAGGGGTTTGGTGTGAATCAGCCCAGGCCTGAGCCTGGACACAAACCCTCCCTGGGATGGCTTGATCCTACCTGCGATGGGGATGGGATGGCGACTTGGGGCTCGGGGATGGGGCTTGGGGGTCAAGGCTGGGTTTGCCGATCAGAGATGGGGTCTGGGGTCAGGGCTGGGGGTTCAGGAGTGAGGCTTGAGGATCAGGGTTTGGAGTTCAAGGCTGGGTCTCAGGGATGAGATGTGAGGTTCAGGACTGAGCTTCGGTGCTCAGTTTGGGGTTCAAGGACTGGGGACTCAGATCAGAGGTCTGAGGCTCAGCGTTGGGGTTTGGGGTTCAAGGGCTGGGTTCAGGGCTTACTGATGATCACAGAACCCCCGCCTGCTCCCCTTGGACACTCTGGGACAGATGGACATGGATGGACTGCAGTGCCCAAGTCCTTCAGCCCCCCAAAGTGCCAGCGGGAGCCCCTGACCCCCTTTACAGACCACACAAAGACAGGGTGAAGATGGAACATTTAATGGTGTCTCAGCATCTTCACTGCTGTGCCAGGGTGTCCGTGCTGCAGCCGTGGCCATTCAAACAGCCCAGGTCTTCCTTGGGACAGGACCAGCAACACTGGGAAAGCGGGGGCCGTGCATCTGGTCCCTTTGCTCCCCCCCCCCCCCCGGGGCTGCCACATGCTCACATTGGGATATGCTTTTCCTCCCCATTCCCATGCAGTCCATTGAGGTCCAGCCAGTGCAAACTCCTGCTCAGCTCCTCAGCAGCTCAGTCGTGGACAGCGGGGCTCTCCCACGCTGGGGATGATGCTTACGTTGGGATTAAAGCCCGGCCATTCACATCCATCGAGGACCATCACATCCGGAGCAGTTGTCCCTGCTCGGGCCTTGCAGGGCTGGTGCGGGCAGGGGGCTGGCCAGGGCCAGGGCTGGCCCGCATCCCTGTGGGGATATAGTACAGGCTCTCCAGGTACCCACAGTCGGGACCCCCCGCAGCGGGCGGCCCCTCGCCCTTGGGAGCAGAGCTGAAGGTCCCAGAGAAGCTGGGGTTGTCAGCAGCCGGCGGCTCAGGGTGCACTGGAGACGGGGCAGAGGGTGCCGGGGGTACCGGGAGCCCCTGGAAGCCACTGTAGGGCACATAAGGCGGGCCATAGACCCCCGGTGGCATGACCAGGGGGTTGTAAGGAGCTTGGTAGAGCCCGGTGTGCGATGCCACTGGTGGGACGAGCACCTCCAGGTACTGCCCGGTCTCGGGGTCGTACAGTGTTTTCAGCTGGGGCTGCCGTGGGGGCTCCATGTAGTAGCATTTCCCACTGTCGGGATCCACGAGCATCCTCCGCTGTGTGGGCAGGTGGGGAGCAAAGGGCTTGGTGGAGCTTGGTGTGTTCTTACTGCTTGGAGAGGCACCATCAGTCCTCCTTAGGAAGTGGGGAGCATCCTCGAGGCGAGGCTGAGGCTGGGCTGAGGGCACCGGGTGCTCTGCAGCCACAAGGCCTTCGGGGGGTCGGGGAAGGTGGGGCTCGGCGCTGGGTTTGCTCCAGGGCACTTCCCCACCGGGCAGGGGCGACACACCGGCCCCCAGTGGAGCACTGGCCGGGCTGGGGACCAGCGGGGATCCAAAGAATGAGCTGGCCATGCTGGAGACTGGTGGGTGTCCAAAGGAAGTGGGGACTGGGTTGGTGCCCAAGGGGGACCCAAAGGATGTGCTGGATTGATTGGAGACCAAGGGGCTCTCAAAAGAAGCACTGGCTGAGTTAGGGACCAGGGGGGTCCCAAAGGATGTGCTGGATCGACTGGGGACCAATGGGGTGCCAAAGAATGCATTGGCTGAGTTAGGGACCAAGGAGGTCCCAAAAGATGCACTGGCTGAGTTAGGGACCAAGGGGGTCCCAAAGGATACACTTGATGGATTAGGGACCAAAGAGGTCCCAAATGATGCACTGCACAGGCTGGGGATTAAAGGGGTCCCAAGGGATGCACTGGCTGGGTAGGGGATCAAGGGGGTCCCAAAAGACTTGTTGGTAGGGTTGGAGACCAAGGAAGTCCCATACGATACGCTGGCCAGGCTGGAGGCTGATGGGTAGCCAAAGGGTGAGTTGGTCATGCTGGGGACTGTGGCAGTCCCGAAAGACGTGCTGGCTGGCTTGGGGACAAAGGGGGTCCCAAAGGGTGGACTGGCAAGGTTGGGGACCAAGGGGGCCCCAAAGGGTGCACTGGCTGGGTTGGGGACTGCAGGGGTCACAAGGGGTGCACTGCTTGGGTTGGGGACTGCAGGGGTCCCAAAGGGTGCAGTGATTGGGTTGGGGGCTGCAGGGGTCCCAAAGGGTGCAGTGATTGGGTTGGGGGCTGCAGGGGTCCCAAAGGGTGCAGTGATTGGGTTGGAGGCTGCAGGGGTCCCAAAGGGTGCAGTGATTGGGTTGGGGGCTGCAGGGGTCCCAAAGGGTGCAGTGATTGGGTTGGGGGCTGCAGGGGTCCCAAAGGGTGCAGTGATTGGGCTGGGGACTGCAGGGGTCACAAGGGGTGCACTGCTTGGGTTGGGGACTGCAGGGGTCCCAAAGGGTGCAGTGATTGGGTTGGGGACTGCAGGGGTCCCAAAGGGTGCAGTGATTGGGTTGGGGGCTGCAGGGGTCACAAGGGGTGCACTGCTTGGGTTGGGGACTGCAGGGGTCCCAAAGGGTGCAGTGATTGGGTTGGGGACTGCAGGGGTCCCAAAGGGTGCAGTGATTGGGTTGGGGACTGCAGGGGTCCCAAAGGGTGCAGTGATTGGGTTGGGGGCTGCAGGGGTCCCAAAGGGTGCAGTGATTGGGTTGGGGACTGCAGGGGTCCCAAAGGGTGCAGTGATTGGGTTGGGGACTGCAGGGGTCCCAAAGGGTGCAGTGATTGGGTTGGGGGCTGCAGGGGTCCCAAAGGGTGCAGTGGCCGGGCTGGGGAGTGCAGGGGTCCCAAAGGACCCGCTGGCCGCGCTGGGGACCGAGGGCAGCGTTGGCACCGGAGCGGGTTTGGGGGCTTTCTCCGGAATTGCCAAGTAGTTGGAGTTCTCCGCCGGGGCAGCGGGAGGAGCCGGCTCGGTGGCTGCCGGCCACGTTGGTGGACGCTCCCAGGGCTCCCTCCGCTCCGGCAGCCGGGTAGGGGCAGCCTCACCGCCCTCCCCACCTCGGAACGGGGCGACGGGGCCGGAGCCACCCTCGGAGCCGCCGCTCCCCACCGACACCAGCCGGGCCGGGGCCCGGGGCTGCCCCTGCTCTCTTGCGGGCGGCTCTGGCGCGCTTCTTGCTGCCGGCTTCCCCGGCTGCGGGGGCGCGGTGCTGCCAGCCACCGACCCGGGATGGGGGTCACCGCTGCCGGGGAGCCCTCCGGGGCCACCGTGGCCGTGTCCTTCCGTGGGGCTCGGTGGCGGCGGCGGGAGCAGGACGGTTTTCTCTGTCCGCAGCACCGCGCTGCTCTGAGCCGGGAACCCTTCCCCGGACCGCGGGCCCAGCAGCACGTGGAGGTGGGTCTCCATGTGGGGCACCCCCTCGGCCGTCGCTGCCCGCGGCGGGACCCGGATCTCGCTGCGCTCCCGGCGCGGGGGGGACGCCGGCGGCCCCTCCGCTGCAGCCGAACCCCGTCGTGTGGCCTGGACCCTGGTGATGTGCACGGGGGAGCGGCGCGGGGGTGAGGAGCGGCTGCTCCGGGCACGCAGCGGGGCCGGCTCTGCCGGCACCTCCTCGTGTCCCGGCTGCGGCGCTGGCTCCCGGCGGCACACCGAGCTGCAGTGGATCACCAGCGGGGCGGCCGGGGCCGGCTCCGCGCTGCTCGGCGGGGCCGTGGTGCCGCGGGATGCGCCGGCGGTCCCGAAGCAGAGGTTGTAGCTGCTCTTCAGCAGCTTGCGCACGTCGCGGGGTTGCGGGATGCGCCCCTTCCCCTTCTCCTCCGGCTTGGGGGGGACGGGCGGCGGGGACCGCCGTGCCGGGGGACTGGAGGGCTGGCGCGGCGCCGCCGGGGGCTTCTCCTCGTGTCGGTTCTGCGGCACCAGCCTCACGTCCTGTGCCCGGGAGGTGAAGGTGCGGCGCGGCGGCACAGCAGGGAAGGTGTCGGGCTCGGCGGGCAGGGTCTGCGGGTGGCCGGGGCAGATGGCTCGCTGCCTCAAGCTGGGCCAGGGCTTCGGAGCTCTCCCAAACCTCGGGGCGACATCCAGCACCTTCCCCACTCCAGGCTGCGCTTCGAACAAGGCACGTGCTTGCCGGTAGCGGATCCTCTCCGGCGGCGGCTCCTCGGTGGTGCCGGGCAGCCAGTGGCCCTCCATCACCTCCTGGTACTTGAGCCTCTCGTTGAGCTCATTGAAGGTCTTCTTCAGCTTGCAGACGTTCTCCCTGGTCGCCTTGCTCAGCACCACCCCCTTGGTGGGGTGGGTGGTGGCGGCGTTCCCCATGGCCACCGGCGCCACCGGCATCCCGCCACCCCGCAAGTCCTCCGCTGAGAAGCTGCAGTCGGAGCGGGATAAGGAGCTGGACTTGCCTTCCAGACCATCACCCAGCAGGTCGGTGCCGGCGGAGGATGGCCCCGAAGAGGTCGAGCTGCCCCGCAGCCCCTTCTGCTCCATCTTGATCCTCTGCTCGTACTGCATTTTCTTGGCGAGGACGTTCTTCACCAGGCAAGAGGCCGCCCTGGTCTTGCTGGTGTCAGCATCCAGGGAAGCTGTCTTCATGAACTGCTTGTAGTTGAGCCTGAAGTCCTCACCGATGGCTCTGCCCTTGCTGGGGGGCTCCTTCCTGGCAGGGGGCACGGGCTGCGGGGCCGGGGCATCCCCCCGGGGGACAAAACCTGTTTCCTTCCTTTCCTTCCTCTTCAGCAGGATCTGCCGCTTCGGGACAGTCCTCTTCTTGCCATGGCCCTTCCTGGCCTCACCGCTCTCCAGCTCCACATCCACGCACTCGAACTGTTCCTTTCCCAGCAAGCCCAGCAGCTCCCCGTCCATGCCGGCGGGGA